GCCCACGCGCGACCCCGGCCTCCAGGGACGGGGCGCCGAGCGGCACCTGGGGCGCCGAGCCGCACTGCGCTCACCTGCAGGACTCGTCCCGCAGCCCCACACCCGGACCGCTCGGCGCGCCCGCGCCTCCGTGTCCTCTGTGCCCAGAGGAGGTGATGGACGGAACTGGCGCGGTCGTGCCAGGTGTCCAAGGGACCAGGGCCAGCGGATGCGCCTGGTAAACAGTCGTGATTGCGGAGCTCAGGCCTCGCGGTCCGACTAGCGCAGAGAAGGGGCTTGCCTGCTGCACCCAAGGAGCCCATCCTGAATTTATAACCCAAGATTCCTCCATAGCCCTTTAAAGGCGCGCTTTTGCTAACGCCCCCAGTGTGCTGCTGATGGATGGTCCTTAGAAATGAGCTCCAACCTCGTACCGAAGACTCACTCAGGTGGACCCTTGGGGGAGATGAGACACGTCCTCCTCTCAGTGGGTGGCCGCAGCCCCTGGGACTGCCTCCCACACTAGTGGAAAGGACTGGCTGCGGATGAGCACTGGGTGCCAGGCACTGTGTCCGTGAGAGGCCGTGATTGGCTCTGCCTTGCAGCTAGGGAAACTAAGTCAGAAAGACGATGTGGCTTCCGGATGAAGACGACTACTATAAAAAGAAGGAGCTGCCCCGGAGGATATCTCCTTAGGGAGAGGAGACACCTTGCAGCAGAAAGTTAACTAACAATCAAATGTTAATTACGCAGACTGTGCTGGAAGACATCAAAGGTGACTCACTGCCAAATGAGTGTCCTGGGCCATGCTTGCAGTCTGAGCTCAGCTGGCTGGGGTTAGAGGGTCCATGGGGCCAAGTGGGCAGTCTGGGAGGCTGGGGAGAATGGGTCACTCTGGGGGTGGAGCAGAGGACTGATTTAGGAGAGTAGTGACATGGGTCCCCAAAGGGGGAAATGATGGAACCAACCCCTATTTGAAACACATTCTTCCTCAAGATCACTTTCACATCGTGCACTGAAGCTTGTAAGTCATTGAAAAATCTTCTAACCCTTTCTTGTACTAAACCAGTGGTTCTCAACTTTCCTAATGCCTCGACCCTTTCATACAGGTCCTCCTGTGGTGGTGACCCCCAACCATAAAATTATTTTCGTTGCTACTTCATCACTGTCATTTTGCTACTGTGATGAATCGGGCCACCCCTGTGAAAGGGTCATTCAACCCCCCCAAAGGGGTCTCGACCCATAGGTTGAGAACCACTGCACTAAACCAAAACCCACAGTTCATTCCGACGCCTAGAGCCCCCATTGGACAGAGTAGGACTGCCCCACAGTGCTTCCCAGGGTGCCCTCGTCAGGGGAATGGACAACCTCAGCTTTCTCCCGTGGAGTGGCCGGTCAAGTCAAACCGCCAAGCTTTCCACAACCCACAAAACCTCGGCATCAAGCCTCTTCTGGGGCTCATAGCAGCCCTGGAGGGTGGAGTACACGTGCCCCAGGGTTTCTGGGATTGTAAACCTTTATTGGAGCCCGCAGCCTCATCTCTCTCCCACACAGCAGCGGATGCATTTGATCTGCAGACCTTGTGGTTAGAAGCCCAGCGTGTAATTCACTGTACCACCAGGCCTCCTAGAGCTCCAAACGCTCATTAAGAACGTTTAGTCACCTAATCCTCCAAAACTCAAAACCACGCTCACTGTCACTCGAACTCATAGTGACCCTACAGGAGGGTGTAGAACCGCCCCTGTGGGTTTCGGAGACTGTAACTGTTCATGGGAGTAGAAAGTCTCATTTTTCTCCCTCAGAGATGCTGATGGTTTCAAATTGCTAACCTCACAGTTAGCTGCCCAACTCGTAACCATTATGCCACCAGGGCTCCTCACCTAATCCCACTTATGTATAAATTGGATTTAAGACACACTTGGGACCGGATCTCGTTGGTAACCTGGGGACCACTTGACTGTATATTCTCAGTGATTAAATGGACTGTGTTAGTTTGTCTCATGGAGATCGCAATTCGAGGGGAACACGATGCTCCCAGTAGGTTTTCATGGGCCTTCTAGATTTACAAAACATAGCACCAGAAGGTGTAATCTCAGAACCATGCTTGGAATCAACCTGCTGGTGTCATGAGGGAACTTTTTAAAAATTATTTTATTGGGGGCTCTTACAGCTCTCATCTCAATCCATCTATCCATCCATTGTGTCAGGCACATTTGTACATATGTTGCCATCATAATTTTCAAAGCATTTTCTTTCTACTTGAGCTCTTGGTATCAGCTCCTCATTTTTTCTCTCCCTGCCCTCGTCCCTCCCTCATGAACCCTTGATAATTTATAAATT